ACCACTACTACCAAAGTAAATGCAACTCATCATTAAACATGGATAGGTTAGGTTAACTCAATATACACAATGCATGTGCAACGTTGCTTGTAGCATTGGAAAAAGTGATCTTAACATTTTTTTATTTAATTTAAAGTGTGTGATTGTGTGAATTTTAATTTTAATTTAAATCATACTTCTGTCCAGTGTAGTAAAAAAACATGCATTCATCATTGCAATTGATTTACTTACCAATAGCTCAATGTTTAATATACCAACAAATACCAGGCGTTTTCAAAATAAACTAAAAAACCAAACCGATAAATTTCATTTCTGTCACAATTAATATTAATATAGAGGGGCAAACATTATGAATTTGGCTATCAACTAGGGGCCAGTTGTGCCATCATCTACTCCGAATGGATCAACCCAATGATCTTGGATATCAGCTCCAGACCGACCATTGTCGATGTAACTCGATACATATTTGAGTAAATCATCAATTATTGTAATCAGAATCTCATAAAGTTTTGTGGAGTAATCAGCTGCACGACCAAAGTAAACAAGCACAAAATCTTCAAACGGTGGTCTGCCGGCACCCTCCAGACATTCGGATAGGGTTTTAAAAGTTATTTTACTCGAGTCATATGTCTTACCATTGTTGAATTCAATGCATGTATTAACGTAGAATCGAATCTCTTTTCTACAAACATAGATACACATGATACAACATTTAAATATATTTGCATACTGAATTTAATAATAATAGTCAACTGTATAAATTTTTTAAAAGTATACATGTATATGTTCACATAATTGTAAAAATTGTGTACTTACTTTTTTGGTATTGATTGTTGTTTCTATGAAAATAAATTAATCAGTATATAGTATAAAGTAGGCAAATTTATTATTTGGTATTTGATGGTTGTGTTTATGGGAAATAAATTAATCACTATATGGTATAAACTAAACGAATTTATATTTAGTATTTTAGTGTATGGGAAATAAATTAATTAATATATGGTATAAAGTAGAAAAATTTATTTGGGTTATTTGATGACTGTTTTTTGGTAAAAAAAAATTGTTGAAAAATTAACCAATGTATGGTACACTTCTTTTTTCTGTAATGCGCATTCCATTATATTGATTTTTAGGTGTGTCTCAATTTTTTTTTTTAATGAAATTTCAATAATGAAATTGTTGTATCTCGAAAAATTAATATGAACAAATATTTTGATATAAGGTGTGTGTAGTGATGTTTTTTTATATATAGAAAATGATCTGGTCAAATTTTTATTTGTATAATTAGTGGGTCTCGATTTTTTTTTGTTACGACATTTCAAATAATTTTCATATGAAATGCCTTGTTCAAATCTTTCAGCATGATAAAGAGTATCTCTATTTTTTTAATATAAAACGTCGAAACAATATGACCGATTATTTTAGAATAAATGTGTGTCTCTATTTTTTTTCTTCTTTTTTTAAGCTTTGGATTTGATATTTTTGGTATGCTAAACAAAAATAATAATATGACCGATATCTTTTGATATAAATGGTTGGAGTGGAAGTCAAAATTCCAACTAGATCTTACAAAAAATGGTATTGTATAACGTATTAACCATTCCTTAACAAAAAAACTTTCACAATTTCCTTTCATAGTGGCCAAATTAATTAAACAACCAAAAAAAATTCGAGATTTACATAAAAAAAGTCCGATATTGTCGATTTAATTTAGTATACCGATACAATCAAATAATTAATTGAGCAAATAACGAAAATATAATTGCCAAAAAATCTCAAAATCAAATATGACATAATCACATTGTAAATCACCAATTAATTAATTTGTAATATATAAATAAACAAGTACGAGAAAAATATAATAACATCAAATTAACCAAAAAAAAGTGTGAATTACATAGTAAATTTTGTCATTACAAAATAGAACAAGTGTTGTTCACACACCTTTAAAATTTCACATGAATCATAGGCAATTTATTGCCCTTTGTTAAAATGTTTTCGTATCAAATATTTATGGAATTTATCTAAAGTATACTTTGTTCTTCTTCCTCTATGAATTTATTGTAGATCGATGTTGTCTGCTCATCCTACTTTCGATTTAATTTTTTATTACACAAATAAACGATTTATACTTATTTAGTTCAGTTCAAGATGAAGTGAAAATTTAGTCTAATCAAGGATGTCACTTGAACTAAGAAGCTACCCATGAAGCTGCGTACGTTTTGAATAAATGAATTACTTGGAAATCCTATTTCACGATGAGGACTTTCAACAGATCTTCCTGGTTATTTCAAAGGGGAGTCGTCAGGATATTGTGAATGCTGCAATTAATTCTTCCGACATATGGACTGATAGTGCTGTGTTGAGGCTTACAAAAAATTTTCGCCTTCAGAGCATTGGTGATTCAGATGAAGGCGATGAGCTGACTGCTTTCGCTAATTGGATAGCGAGTATCGGAGATGGAACCGTTGGGGGATCCAATGATGGATGTGTTTTGATAGACATACATGATAATATATTATTGGAGCCCACTGACGATCTTAGCGATGCAATTGTTGAGAGCACATAATCCAATGTTTAAAGATGAAAGTGATGATCCCAGTTATTTAAAAGATGAGGCTATACTAGCCTAACGTTGGAGGTGGTTGAGTATATCAATGTGTACATGACGTCTTTGAACGTGACTGATGGTCAAATATACTTGAGCTCTGATAGCACGTGCAAATCTGATTTAAATAATAATTTTTTGTCTGATCTCCACACCCTCGAGTTTCTTATAATATAAGATGTTCTAGAGTGCTAAACCATAAGTTGAAATCTTATGATAGGAACCCCAGTCATGTTGTTGCGCGGAACATTGACCATCCTATGGAGTTTTCAATGGTACGAGATTGGTTGTCACAAAACTCTCAATCCATTTGCTTGAATGTAAGGTATTGACTAGATATAAAACAAGAGAGAAGGTGTTGATACATCGGATGACTAAAACTTTATGACTTTAGAATACCTTTCAAAATTTTACGAAGTTTCCCCTAATGGTTTCTAATGTCACGGCGATTAACAAGAGTCAAAGTCAGTCTTTATCACATGTTGTCATGTTCTTGAAGAAGTCGGTTTTCAGTCACGACTAATTGTGTGCAGCTGTTTCCCGTGTCACTAACCTAAAGAGTTTGAAAATATTAGTTTGCAGAGAGAATGATGTGCCTACAAAGGAAAAAAATTGTCTACAACGAGGTTTTTAATAGTATATAATAATATTTTTTTTTCTATTTATTTATTTTTTCTATTTATGAATATAATAATAAGATTGGGTAAATAACCTTAAAACTGTGCACCTGTGCATCGAACGGGATCTGCACTAGGAAATTTTACAAATTAAAAAAAAAAATAAAGTAATTAACGTTAATCGAGCTCTATAACAAAAGTAAGATTTATAAACTTTAAAAAATCCGAGTACATACAATCAACACTAGTACGTAGCCCGTGCGATGCACGGGACAAATGTATTAAATGAGTCATTTCCACAGAGCTTTCAGTTAAGTAGCTCGTACGATTCACGGAGATCTTAAATGAGTGGACCATAGGGCTTGTCCGTTCCGACCTAAAAAATAATAGAGTTTGATCATCTATCTTTTTACCTCTTTTCATCAACGTCATTTTGTTTTTGTCGGGACATTAAACCTGAGCCTGGTAGTGCTAGCCCGCAAATTAATTAATATATTATCTCGCTCACATGTTTATAATAATATAAATTTGATTTTATTATATATACTTATTCCTTGATATAAGAAAAAAAATAATATTACGTAATCTTGTTCCTCGTATAATATTTATATTATTTTATTATAAAATCTATTGTGATATAATGTCATTATAATTATTTATATATTATAGATGTAGTCTTCTTTTTCTTTTTGTTTTATGTAATTAAAATATTTAATGATTTATTAATGTAATTAATTTAAATTATGTAAATAAATTTAAAGTAAAATATTTTGTACAAACATTTTACAAAATATACACAAATGGTTTTTAGAATTTGTTTTTTTTATAATAAATAAACATCTTTGAAATTCTGTGCTATTATTAAACATCCTTGATATAAAATCATACATGAATTCTATGCAATTATTAATTCCTTCATGGGAAACAAATCATTCAGATGTAACAAAATGATAAGGGAGTTTAAAATTTAAGTTTTAAATAAGACATGTTTTTACTTGAATTCTATGCAATTTTATTTAGGCCGATTTAATAGCAAACAATTCATTCAGGATATTAATATAACAAAATGATAAGAAATTTTAATAATTAATTTTAAATTTGAAATGAGACATGTTTTTACTCTGTCCAATTTTATTGCAAAAAACATCAATTAATGACGGAATTAATGTAGACCGGTTTTTTAGCTATAAAATAATAATACAATTGAAAAAATGATAAAAATAGAATGCATTAATCGCTTTTGACTTTTTCTCCCTACTAATTCTAGTAAATGAGATGATTTTTTATATAAGTATAGATTATATAATTGGTTATATAATTATATGAATATATAATAAGATAAAATAAAAAGAACTATTGATTAAAGTGAAATAAAAAGAATTATTAAATATTTATTTTATTTATATTACGTACTCTGTAAAATAATTGGATTTGGTTTTGGATGGTCCGAAAGACGAGTAGCAAAACAATTGCCGCCAACCAACCATTTAATAAGATCCTGTCAAAAGGAAGAAAAGCCCACCTACACCGGCGCGTACAACACAATCAAGCCAAGTGTACATACAAACAAAGCGTAACAAAATTTTCTATGTGATCCATATCACCGCCACGCCTCAGTTTCGACCCCTTTCCCCCTTTACCTCCCCTTTCTCGAACCCTAATTATTCTCAAAGAGTCTGTTGATTTTTTTTCCCTGATTATATTGAAATCATATAGTTTAGGGACTTTATCTTTGCCTTATTTTCGTGTATAGAATAGAAAATAACAAGATCGCCATGTCGATCGTCGGTCAGAATCTAATCGAGGGCCTTCAAGATCTCGCCATCCAAGATCAGGTTTGTGGAATTATTACAGATTTTTCGTCTTTTTTTTACTTCTTTTTTATTTTCTATTTTGTTTATGCTTGATGTATATGTAATTGGAATGATGGTTTCGTTTTACCTCGTTTTCGATTGTTTTGAATTTTAACATATTGAAAGAATGGAATAATTACAGAAACCTACCTCATTCCTGCTGATTGAAACATACAGCAATTTTTTTTTTTTTTTTAATGTTTGTATATCTTCGGTGATTGCCCTGTCAGAGTTGTGTAATTTGTTGCAATTGAAGAATGAGTAATGAGTTTTGATGGATTTAGTTTTGATTGGCGTCCATATTCATATTATTGTTGGCATTCTTCTAGTGGAAAGAGCGAAAATTTGATTACTTTCTATTTTTATTTTTTTTTAATTTAGTGCTTTTTTTTTTTGTTTCTTTCTTATGGAGATAATGCTTCTTGTAATAAATTGAGTTGGTTCTTTGGATTTCAGAATGAAACGAAGGCCAATTGTACAGAACCTGTCAAGGAGATTAACCAAGTTGAATGCGAAACCAACAGTAATCACCATGGAATTTGCGCGATATGTCGGAATAAGATAGTTCTCCAAGAGACTGCTCTCGTAAAAGGTTGCGAGCATGCCTACTGGTTTGTCTGAATCTCTATTTTCTATTTGCACGACCATCTTGTGAGATGCCTAGTGAATTCTTAGTTTCATTTATATGCAATGTGACAGCCTACTTTTTTGTTTATATACTTTGTTATTGGTTATTTTGCTAGCCGTTGACAAGCATTTAGCTAGAAGATTTCTTGTTTCTGAAGCTCACATTTTTCTTTGAAATAAAATGTCATACCTTTCTTGTTAACTAGTGCGTGGCCCGTGCGATGCACGGCAAAACAATATTACGATTGTGTTATAAATTATATATACAAATAAATTAATCAAGATTTACCCATCGTTTTAAAATTAAACTGTGTTTGACACAGTCCGACCGGATGGACCGAGAACCAGATTATAATGAGTCTAGTTCACTTGAATAAAATATTTGCTATTGAATGCGCCAACACGTCGGTTGAACTGGTAGGATCGATACGATTTTCTAAATAAATTTTGCTATATTTAAAATTATTTTAAATAAATTTAAATAAAATAGAGATTTATAAATTGTTTAGGAATTAATTTAAACATTTGAATTTTTAAATTTTTTAGATATTTAAGTAACACATTTTATTCAAATTTATTACAAAAAGTACCATATATATATTAAAGCGTATTTAAAAAAAATAATTGTATAATTTTTATAAATTAAATTATATGATTGAATTGTATGATTATATTAAAGCGTATTTATAAATTAAATTGTATGATTTTTAAATAAAAAAATAAGAAAAATAATAAAACTACTATTTATGGATTGCATTAAATGCTGACCTATTTTTTTGCTACTAATTTTAGTAAATAGGATAGCTTTTTATATAAGTATAGATTTTGAGTTGCTTATTTCTTCTCTCTCCATTTTTTTCAGTGTGAATTGCATTTTGAAATGGGCCTCGTATAAAAGTGATGCCACATGCCCTCAGTGTAAAAGTCCATTTGAGTTCTTGAATATTCATCGTGCGCTTGATGGAAGGTATTTCATTATTGCTTTTTTTGTTAATGGGCGATGCTGCCTTAACATGTTCAGTATTAATACTGTGTTTCCTAATCAATGCATCCGATGATGATTATAAAATCCTATTTAAATGATTTTTTTGTCCTAAAGATGCCAAAAAATAGCCTAATAAGCGATTGATGGAAATAAAATTGGCCTGTTTGACCCTTGTCCCTTGACCAATTGTGAACAATTACAGGTTACAAAATTTTTCCTGACTAAAAAGAGAACAATACACTAAAAAGGTTTTTGTTAATTTATTTCTGGAACAGCATTCAGGACTACATGTTTGAGGAGAGTGTCCACCTTCTCCTAAGGGCCTCATGGTTTAAAAAGCCCTCAATTGTAGTCGAGCAAGAGTTGGTGTATGAAGAAACCGAAGAATATTATTATGAGGAAGAAGACGAAGAGGGAGAAGAAGATATAGACGAGGTTTATTTGGATAGGTCCGGGGGCCTTTCCCTCGGGAACAGGAGATGGGATGACAACGGGTATGTTCGGGCTGGGAGGCAGGAAGCACGGCCCGCTCACCGCCAGGAAACTACTGCAGGCACGTCTCGCGGGCCCAAGAAGAAAGAGGGTGCATCTAAAGAAGCAGCAGTTGGCCGACGTGCGAAACGGGCTTTGAAGCGCGAGGCGGCTGACAAGGCAAAACAGGAGGAACATCTGCCTGGTTTGGGCCGTGTAGATCTTCATTGATGGCTTAAAAAAAATGACTTGGGGCTTATTGTACAGTTTTTTTGAGTCGGTGCTCTTTTGAATGTGAAATAAGTATATTGGTTTTGTGGTCTCAGAAAAAAGACGGTCTAGGACTCGTTATATTGTGTTGGCTGTAATGTTGGTTGGAATAAACTTACTTTAATTTGGAGTTCAAATTAATTTATTGGACTTCGGCTTGGATACTGTACTAATATGTTTGAAATGTCCATATAAATGTTGTTCAGCTGAATCTTGGAATTTTTAAATGCCCTCATTTGGTATATTTTTTTGTAAAACGTGAGTTCCTTGAGAAAATGTTACTGCCAACACTTGTACAAACCTCTAATTATCCCTTCTTTTCTACTATTTGTGGGTATTTGTGAATCAAGATTCATTGGTACAAATCCAACATACTTTTCATTTGAATGTCTGAACGTTAAAACTATCATACCTTCAAAATGAGGTAAATAGTACACAATGTGTTTGTCATATGGAAGTACACATTTTTTCTCGTAAAAAAAGTAGACAATTTCGGGCACGAACATTTCCAACTGACTAAATTACTTTCCGAGCATGCTTGTCCATCATTTTGCTCACAGATTCCGGTTAGGTTCTATAAAAAGAAAAGAAAAAAGTGAAAAGATAAAAATATAATTTGGAAGAAGAAAACACTAGTAGCAGTAGTAGAAATGCAACACAAACTCGACGAGCCTAGACACTTTACACGCTCACCATGAACAGAGGGAAACAAACCAAGAACTCCAAGCAAAATGGCAAATAAGACAACCATCGACAGCGGCGGAGATGCGGAGGAAGTAGACGGTTGCCGACGATTGTGGAGTTCAGCGTTGAATCTCCGGCTGGTATGTGGTGGCGGTGGCTTTGTTGTTGGGGGATGGCGATGGCGGCGGGTTATGGCAGTGGGATCAACGCGACCGCCTGAGCTTGTGGCAACGACTGGGCGTGCCGCAGGCGTAGCAGGATGTTGATGGTGGGTCGGCTCGTGACGGCGGCGGTCTGTGGCGGCGACGGTGTTAACGTCACCGACTATGCTTGTTATTGGCGACAGGCCGTATCGGCGGCGGGGCAGGTGGTTGTTGGTGGCTCTGCTCGTGACTTTTGTGTGTGTGTGTGTGTGTGTCTTCCGACCTCCGCGTGCGTGTGTGTGAAGAAAGGTGTGATTTGTGTGTGTGTGTGTGTGTGTGTGTCTTCTGACCTCCGCGTGCGTGTGTGTGAAGAAAGGTGTGATTTGTGTGTGGGTGTGTGTGTGTGAGAGAGAGAGAGAGAGTGAGAGAGAAGGTAGGATATATGAGTTGATTAATGACTATTTTATCCTTAGTTAGTGGTAGTTTGTATACATTTGACCACCATATATTTATTTATTTACTATACTACCATTAATGATTAAACATTATTTATTAAATTTTGACTTCATGATAATCATTGATATGATGTAGCAAATGGAGTAGATCCATTCTCATTTCTCATTTAAGCACACTTTTATATATATGTAACGGGTAATGCTATGTGAACAACCGTGTTGACAACTTGGTTGACAACCTGAAATGTACGGTTGAGATGGTCATAAATTAACGGTTAAGATTTGTTTTAATCTTAAATTTATATCTTTTTGACTTTTGAATAAAGTGTAACAAATAAAATGTCAAAAACACCCTTGTTTTATACAGCGAATGCTCTTGCGCTATCTGTTATGATTTTTATCCCGATGTTAATTGTCTTAACATTCCGGATAAATTATCTATTCTATCTGACATATCAGCTAGAGAACGTTTCTCTGAAACTGATAATCTACTTGATTCTCCTATAATCAAAGAATTTTCCTTAATTTGCATAGAATTTTTGTTTCCTATTAATGTTTTTCCTTTAGCTATGTCAATAGCCAAGTGTTCTTCTAGAGGTGCTAACTCACAGAAGGTTTTCTCTTCCACTGAACCTATATCTGAAAAGATATCTTCTAGTTCAATATAAGATTTTTTCCTATAATCTATACTATGGTGACTATTACTCAAAGCATAGCTTATAACATATGTAGCGCTAAAGACTTTATCTCCAGGGTTCATTAAATTTTCTCTTTCAAAGTGGTGAATGAAAGATAAAGTTCTATCTAAATTTGCAGTTTGAATAGACGTACCAAATTTTGGATAAACTGTAAAGATAAATTTAACATAAGCAAGATTTTCCTCTTGTTGCTCCTAAGATACAGTTTTTTCTGTCATTAATTCTATCATCGATTAATGCCATTTTTATAGAAGTATCAATCCCTTCTTGAAATTCACCTTTAAGCAAAAATTTTATTGCTCCTAGATGAGTTGTTGAAATTTTATTTCTTATAAGAGATGGAATTTTCTCTAGATTTTTCTGTATTTCTTCTCTAGTAATTAAAGGCAAGTATACGGTTCCTTTAACATCTCTTATGTCTACATGTAATTCTTGCATGTTGAAAAAATAGAAAATTTCATTTTTTTCTTTTTAAGAAATTAAACATTGGAATGTTAAAAACTTCTTCTTTTTTAAGATTTAACTTTGATTCTTGAATCTTAGTTAATACATCATGTTTATTGTCAAACTGGCTTTAAAACCTTTTTCATTTTCATTAAATGAAATTTGTGAAAGATCACTATTAGAACATAGATCTTGTTCTATATTTTTGTTTTCATTATCTGTATTGGAACTCATATTCCGAACAGGTTTTTTCTTTGATACCAGGCTCTGATACCAAGATTTTTAGACGGGCTGAATCCCGTGCGGAATTTATACAAGTTATCTGAGTAACTCATTTTAACTCATAAGAACTGAGCTTTGTTGTTGTGCTTTATTTATAAAATTTTTTAATGCAAGAATGAATGAAAGAAACCATTCTATTGACATTATCAATATAAGTTCTCATGGTTGCTAATTTTATTTCTACAGATGCAGAACTATAGATTTGCATATAATTATTCAATTTTTGCTCTTCTTCTTTTAGATCGGCTGTTAATCGGATTATTTGCTTTTTTAGTGTTTTGAGACAATTTATTTATGAAAACGATACTCTTATCAGCAGGTGCCAAAAATTATCGTTTTCCATAGAAAACTAGAATTTTAATATTCAAGCAAAATCTATGAACTAGGCATCCCCTAAAGGAGATGCTTGTTTTTCTGTTTTCTTAATTAATTTTTGTTTTAGTTTTTGGTTTTGAAAACCTTTTAATAATTTTGAAATTTCTTTCTTGGAAAATTAAAAGTCATTTCTTAGAAACTTTAAACTGCTTCTCAAAGAGCTATCTAGGATGTAATTACAATATTCAAAGGAACTTCTTGTAAAATATTTTATAGTTTGGATAAATTTCATACCTCTGTATTTGTTTTTAAATTTCTATGTCTGAATGATCGACTCCAAGCCTGTGCCACATGTACTGTTTTCCCCTCTGGTACTTCTTCCCTTTGGTTAGCAAGTCGGCCTCCAGGATATGATCTTTAACACAAGTTCAAACAAACTGGATATTTTATTCAATTTCAAACATTTTACAAGAGTCTTGATATGAATATTAGTTATTCATCCAAGCCTCTGATTACAATCTTAAGTTCCTAAGAAGGAAGTGTTCACTACTCACACATGATCCTAAAAGAAAGAAAAAGCTTCAAACTAGACTCTGGGCTAATTTTTGGATGTCCCTTATTGAAAATGTAACTCATATTTTTATAGACTAAGGAATGAGGATCGATACAAAATGTTTTACGTCATTCCTCACGTGGAATCGCATTTAGCCCGCACTTCACCGATAAGCTCTTGGCCTTCTTGTCTTTTCAGACCTGCCCCATTACTTCCTCAATTATTTTCCTTTTGAGCTGGCTGAAGTAGACGTTGTCGGGGAATCTTCATTTTTTGACTCATTTTTCAGAGTGGTAGGTTCCACCTTGGATGTTGAGAGGCAGCTTGGACAACTGAAAACACTTCCTCGTGCTTCTCTTATCTTTTTGATTTTGTCGCAGATTTTTTGATGATGATAATCTTGCAGAAGAATTTTCTGGAATACAATTATTTTCTTCTCATCATCACTTGTCATTGGCTTTAGGGCTTTTTAATATATCAAATAGTCCTTGTCTTGATAATTCACGAACACTTTATCATCTGTGTTGAATTCCATGGATTTTTCGACAAGGAGTTCATAACGATTTAGTCCCATTTGATCCAGATTGATCTCTTTGAATTGTTTGCTTTCTGGCTTAATAAAATTTTCACCAGAACTAATCCCTATCATTATTAGATGTTTGGCCGAAATAACTTTATCATTAATCCAGATGGGTATCGAACTAGTGATTTTTAGGAATATGTCATTTTCTCTGTGAACATATTTTTTCCTGTATTGCTTGATTGACTTAAGAACGTTTTGAGGTAATTCATGTAGTTCTTTCAAAGTCTGGCTGGGATATATGATTTTTACCATCCCATATTCAAACGCCTCGATTACCATTTCTGGATTTGCGTTTTTTATAGAATTGAAGAATCTTAAGTCCTTCCCATTTGTCGTGAAGTATTTATCCGTAAGGATTTCTACTTCACCACTGTTTCGGGCCAAGTTAATCCAATAATCAAGACCCTCTTTTGGAAGTTGAACCAGAATGACTTGTTCTTCTTGTTGGGCTTCTTGTTTCTTGGGAAGTTTGGGAAGTTTTCCAAGAGTCTGTAGCCTTTCCTGGTTTCTGGGCTTTTTCAAGGCCGCAGTAAATGTGTTGGGCTGAAGTCCATCTGTTGTGCAAAATTAGCTCAAGGGGAGCTATTGCATTTATTCTCGAGTACTGATCTGTTGCAATATGAGCCTCAAAGAAACTTTTGAATTTCTTGTGTGAAACAATAGAAATACCTTTTGTAGCTTTTTTGGTAATCTCTCAGTCTTGATAGATACCTTCATTCGGGCCATTGAACACGACATAATATGTTGTGTCTCTTTTATTTGGGATTTGAATTCTCTTATCACTGTCAAGTGATTTTATCTGTT